TATTCGGAGGGTGGGCTCGGGATTCAGAGGTTCTCTATTGTTGTCATTGTGTTTCCTACAGGATGTGGTGTCGCCTTAGGGAAGGCAAGTCCCTTTGGGCCCAATACCTCCTTAGGAAGTATTGCCCTGGTGGAGCTGCTCATCCTTGCAGGGTAACTGTCACTGTTCGGGATAGTCGACAGTGGAGACGGCTCACCACTGTTGGCAGGCATGCTCAGAAGCACATTTTTTGGATCTTAGGCTCTGGAGAGGTCAGTTTCTGGGATGAGTGGTGGTTCGGCGAGGCCCCCCTGTCGAGTACTAGGCCGGTCACTCACCTGCCTTTCATGAAGGTGAAGGATCTTTGGATGGGGGGAGGCTGGGATAGAGATAAGATGGAGGATATTCTAGGTGAGGGTGAGGGTTTTAGTAGTTTAGAGATTGATCAGATCCGACAGATTCCCATTCTGGAGGGAGGTGGTTTGGACGACATGAGGTGGAGACTTACATCTTCGGGTGCATTCTCTACGTCCTCGGCCTGGGGAGATGTGGGGCTGGGTAACCGGCCTAACATACTCTTCGGGGCTATCTGGACCGACCTTCTTACCCAAACCATTTTCGTCTTTTTGTGGCGCCTCCTATTACGACGCATTCCCATTGACACTGTGATGCAGGCGAGGGGGTTCTCCTTCCACTCCCGTTGCCATTGTTGTGCTAAGACCGGTACCTTTGAGATCGAGAATTTTACCCATCTTTTCCTTGAGAGTGAGATTGTGAGGAGAGTGTGGGAGCACTATGCCAAATATACTCATATACCCCTACCCACTACAGACAGTTTTTTTGAACTACTGAATTTTTTCTCACACCGCACACACAGTAGACACGTGGGCTTCCTTATTCCTTGTTTGATCCTATGGTCCACCTGGACAGAAAGGAATAACGCGAAGCATAGGGATATTATATTTTCTTGTGCTCAAATCATTTTGCAGGTTGACAGACACCTCTATCTCCTCACCGCCCTGGGGAGACTCACGACGAGAGACTGGACAGGTTGTACACCGCCCCATCGTTTGAGGCCACCACCTCCTTTACCTGTCCAGAACCCTCAACCCAGGACCGTTGTTTGGCTGAAACCCAAATCTCCTTGGGTTAAGCTAGACACTGATGGCGCATTCGACAGTCATACCGGAGCTACTGGAGGAGGGGGCCTGATTAGGGATCATGGTGGGAACTCATCTCTGCCTTCCATGGACCACTCCGGGCCTCATCGAGTTATGATGCAGAGATTCAGGCGCTCCAGATTGGTCTTGAGATTGCAGCCTCGATCTCCTCCCATATCTGGATAGAGATGGATGCTGCAGCTGTCATCACACTGTTGACATCTAGCCATCAGGGCTCATGGCAGATCCAGCATCCCCTTATGCGCATTAGAGACACCCTCCGCTCGATCCATTACCAGGTCTCACACATATTCCGAGAGGGGAATAGGCCCGCTGATTTCTTTGCTAGCACGGGGGTATCCATACCCCAGAGATGCATCCTTCATCCTGAGGACATTCCCCTTCGGCTTCGTACGCTCATTCGAATGGACCAGTTAGATTACCCATCATTCAGATTCAGATGACTGCCACCACCTGACCCTGACTAGACTTGTCGTTTTGGACCTCATGCTAGGTCACTCTGACCAGGACGACCTTTTATGAGGCTTTGATTTTTAGATCCCATCGGATATTTTGTGATCATGTACTATTTTTGTTTTTTCTGTTTTGATGTTGTTCTATGTATCGTCGACATTTTTGTAGAACCTTGACTTTTTAGCCCTCTCTGGGCCATTATATTCACAGGTCGGGGGTGTTGCCTCAACCCCGCATCCCACACTGGGATTTCTTAAATAAAAAAAAACCATATCTAGAAAAAAAAATTAAGTAATCTATAAATTTACAATAATAAGGCTATAGATTATCAAGAAAGACGTTTTACAATCTGCGTTATATTTGGTTATGCAATCTTCATAAAACCAGTATAAATCATATCATATATATCCAGCTAAATAATTTTATTGATTTATTTAAGCTTATTTAGAATCCTAATATATATAGGCATAAAGTGTTTATTTTCATAGATACGGTTTACACAAAGGTACGTTGTTTTCTGTTTAATAATATATAAGTTACATTTTGTTTTATTCTAATACATGGTTTTTACGTTCTTCTAATCATCTAATCATCCAAATATAAATTTTTACCTTAATAAAATTAGCTCGTGCATCGCATGGGTACCGCACTAGTTTGAAAGAAATTCGGTTAAAACAATTCTTGAAGGACTGCGATATTTCTCACCTTATTTGAGTAAAAACTCAAGCAGATAGTAAAATATTTGTCATTTAAAAGTTTCATTATTACCTTATGGCAAAATAAGTCTGACCTTGAACAACTATTTTTAGTTAGAACTATATATCTAATATGGGATATTATATCTACAGGAATAAACCGACTCACTCAATCGAGTTTAACAAGCCGAGCAAGCTGGCTCGATCGAGTAGAATCAGGCAGGACGGTCGTGATCGAGCATCACGGGAACGGTGTACAAGGGATCCTGACACCACAAGAATCGGTCGGTCCCAACTCCATGGAGGACCTGGTCGAGGATTGACTGGTCGAACGAATGGTCGTTTGATCGAACACTTTCTAGACTGGGAGAAACTATTGGATTGACTTAGACCGAATCGAATGATAGTGCCTTCGAGGAGATCTAGGGGAATCATACCCCCGTGTGGCGAGGACACGTCTCGCGGCCTAATTGGTCCCCACTGAATAACCGCCTCTGCCACACGCACACTGGGTGTATGGACGGGCAGGCTGGGCATTGTGCAACCAACTCAGCTCATCCAGGCAACATCTAGAAGCAGGTATCTCACCCTTATATATAGATGTGAAATTTACATTTTGAGCACGATTTTTTTCCATTGTACTATTTGAGACTTGAGGTTTGGAGTGATTTGACTTAAACATCAGAGGCTCTTCACTAGAAAACTCCTTCGGATGAGAGTTTTTGCAGGTATTCGGCGTTCTAGCGGCGAGAAGGAAGAAGGTGAACCGATTTCCAGCCGATCGTAGTGTTCGTATTACCAATATCACATTTAACATAAATAATTTACGACATCTATATACGTATTCAATTACACAAATCATTTACCACATCTGTTTACCATTTTCAATCCCTAATCTATAAAATCTGACAAATTTAATTCTTTTCACCATATCAATATGTTGCTCGTGTAGTATTCTCTGTGACAACATGGGTGCTGGGACCACTGACCCCAACCTCTACGATTTCAAGCGTTACTCATCTATCGATGGCTACGTGGAAGATTTGATCGCCATTTTGTCGAACTCAAAGTCGAGGGATGCATTTTTCGGGCACTCGTTGTCCCCTTTGGTGGCCGCCGTATGTTAGTATATGTGTCCTAGAGACAATCAATGTGGGACAAATGTACTTGATCACATTCATATTATATTTGATGATATTCGTGGTTTTGCATTAATTAATGAATTCTTTTGATTGTCTGTAATTTATTAATTAAATGCTCCCTTGAGTTAATACTGTCATTAACAGAGTGAGATGTTAATCGATAGAGTATAACTCTTAAATTGCCTCAATCGATGATCATTAAGAAAAGGGATATTAATGATGCGTTATAGATTGACATGTGGTCTGCATCATATTCTTCGAGAATATAGTATGTCTCACTACTATGAATAATTGTTATTCGTGATGGACACATGGATACTTTAGAGAGTATTGGTATACCCTACCGATAAACCATTTGTTTATGTGTCTATGGGAGTATCGGTGTGTGGAATGGTGTAATAGTCCTTTGACTTGAGGTCAATACGCAATTCATGTATAGAGTGATTTACTTAGACCTAGTCCAACGCTTACGCCCTTATGGGTAGACACGGGCTTGTGTTGGGTAGATCATGATATACATGAAATTGGTAGTTGAGCCAAGATGGGATTCATTCCTCGAATATAGTTTCGAGAGAACACTCATTTTCTCTATACTGGGTTGATAAAGTCACTGGCCAGTGCATATGATTATATTTGAAATGGTGTTCAAATGTAATTGATAAAATCAACCAGTAGGATGAGATAAAATGATTAAGCTGTTTGGACAGACACACATTCAAGTCCTAAGCTTAATCGAGTGGGTCGTGAATGAAGGGACCGTATCACTATTAAATTCTACACTAAAGGTTTGTTTGCTCTGTCTATGTAAACGTACTTCATATTTGAGTTCGTCCTTCGACGCAGTCTAGGAGTTTCGTAAGGATCATAAATTAGATTTATGTCAATATATGAAGGCCTACAGGGTCACACAATATGCAATCTATTTTCCGGCTAAGAGTGAATCGAGAGTGTTAAATATTCAATTAGATTGGAATATTTAATTTTAGTAATGAGATTATTTTCTATTAGATAGAAAATATATATAATTAAGTTTACATTGGACTTAGACTTAATTAAATCATTAATTGGATTAGGTCCAATTACCTATTGGGCTATAGGTTGTCCTAAAGCCCACATAATTAGGTTTAGCCTAATTATAAATAGGTGGGTATCTCTTTATCAGTGGGTAAGACATCAGATAATTGAGATACGCCGCAAAACATAAACTCTCTTTGGCTTTCTGACTGAGGATTCCTAGCGTTGGCTTTCTGACTGAGGATTGCGTGGATACCATAGTTGAAGACAAAGCTTAAACTGTAAGTTCTCGCGATCTAGGATCAAAATCGAATAGCTATAACCGGATCTTCTTGTTGGTAAGAAAATTTTAAAATTCCGCTGCGTATGCGATTGATTCGTACGACAAAAATCCAACACCGTAGCCTCGATTTCCAGACCCAAACTGTTCTGTAAAGTGATCATGATTTCCACTACCCCTAGGTACATTATAATTAGTACTATCTTGTCGGTAAATTTTTTGGGGGTTCTAATTTTGTAATGGCAATTTTATTAGAATGGGAAACTCGGAGGACTACTACGGAGGCATGGACCAGGAAACGATGGACCATATGTTGGCCGCCTTCGAAAAGAATCCCACATCTTTCTACATGGACGCGGCCCTGCTGTTGGTGGGCGGCAGCCCGGAGTCGGTGGCCGTGGAGGAGTTCAAAAGAACTATGGTTAAGGAGCGGCCAGACATTGTATTACACAGGGCCCGCTGGATGTACTCTTATGAGCTGAGGCCATACCTCGACCAAATAACCATCCCCTGCCACGTCATCCAGAGCTCCAAGGATCCGATGATGCCGGTGGAGGTGGCTGAGTATATCCACCGGAGCCTGAGCGGGAGGTCGGTTTTGGAGTTGATTCCAACAGAGGGTCACTTGCCGCATCTCAGCTCCCCGGAGCTCACAAACCCAGTGCTGCTCCGCCATATACGGCAGGACATCTAGTTATTGGGCTTGGTTTCATGTCCCTAATTATTTTTAGTCTGTAACTGGCCGGTGCTAGTTACTTTAGTGGAATATATTCACGGGAAGAACTTAAATATATTCACGGGAAGAACTTTAATGGAATAATCAGAATAACTATTTTCACATGATGTAACCTTTTCTCATATGGAATATTTACCATCAATAAATTTATATACTATTTAGTTCAGTTTAGATAGCTCCAAAAAATAAATTGAGTAAAAAATAAAGAGAAGAACAGAATGATTAAAATAATTATAATATATTCTATTTTTTTTTTTTTGGGTACAGGGACCTTCGATTTTCAGATCCACAGGGGAACCGACTAATCTGGAATCGAGCCGGGTAGGACCACAAGGGCGGCAAAACTCTCCCTCAAGAGTTTTAACACTGCTGCATTCTCAGGGCTCGAACACGAGACCACTGGTTAAGCTGGAAGAGACCCAATCCATCTCATCCAAGCGCTCTTGGGTATAATATATTCTATTAATTCCACATACCGTCACTAATGGACTTGATATGAAATATTAATATGAACAAGTTTTAACAATATTATCATATGAACACGTGGAAGGTTGGGAATTTATGGGTGTTTCGACTGGAGTGGCTATACCGGAGAGCGTAATTGCACGGAATGCTTGGAAGGAGTTGAATGTATACTTATCATGTGGAGCTCAGCGAGGTTATTAGCAAGGAGAATGAGTAGATTAGATTCTTATGTTCAGTTTTTTTTTTTTTTTT